TGGGGGTGACCACAGCAGGGGGGTGACCATAGGTTGGGGGTGACCACAGGATGGGGGTGACCACAGCCCCATGACATGATGATGACCACAGCCTGGAGGTGACCACAGCCCCATGGCATGGTGGTGACCATGTTACAGAGATGGCCAGAGCGCCATGCCATGGTGGTGACCATGCCATGATGGTGACTATGTCACGCTGACCACAGCCCCGTGGCATCATGGTGACCTTGTCACGGTGACCACAGCCCCATGGCTTGGTGGTGACCTTGTCATGGTGACCACAGCCCCACGGCATCATGGTGACCTTGTCACGGTGACCACAGCCCCATGGCTTGGCGGTGACCATGTCACGCTGACCACAGCCCCATGGCATCATGGTGACCTTGTCATGGTGACCACAGCCCCATGGCATGGCTGTGACCAGGCCACGCTGACCACAGCCCCATGGTATGGCAATGACCATGTCACCATGAGCAGAGCCCCGTGGCATCATGGTGACCTTGTCACGGTGACCACAGCCCCGTGTCACGGCAGTGACCCCGTGCCCCCCTCCCCCAGGTCCCACCCTGCTCCTCACCAGCGACATCATCCGCGCCCGCCTCGGCTCCTCGGCGCTGGACAGGTAACTCCCGTGGGGAGGAGGGAGCGTCCCCGTCCCCCCACACCCCACACCCCACCCATCCCTGGCTGACCCCTGTGCCCTGGCAGCATCCAGGAGTACCGGCTGTCGGGGTGGCTGGCGCAGCAGGAGGACATCCACCGCATCGTCCTCTACCAGACCGACTGCACCCTCACCACCTGGACCCTGCGCTGCTTCCGCCAGGCCGACTGCATCCTCATCGTGGGGCTGGGGGACCAGGAGCCCGAGCTGGGAGAGGTCAGCTGGGGGCTGAGGGGGGCATGGAGGGGGGACACTGAATCCGAAAAACCCGGAATAGTGAACTGCCCAGAGACTTTTTGATCTTTGAGCGGCAAAGGGATTTGTTGGCAGCGCTGGGAGCGAGCCAGCTATCGCTGGAAAAACCTGCTCCAAGGCTTCACACAAAATCAGCAGGTTTTACACAATTTTCTTATAGGATTAAATGCATATTCAAGTGATTGCAACATCTATCTTGTTAATACACCTACAACATCTAATATGTTAATATCTAACATATTAATGACAGGCAGAGTGTAGGTGGAGCTCAGGCAGGGCTTGGGGCGGTGCTTCTCTTGGCCCTCAGTCTTGGGGGTAGTTCCCATCTTTCTCCCGTGGGTCTGGGGGCTTAAACTCATCTTCCTCAGCTTGACTTCTCTTCTTTTCCATTGTTCTCGACCCGCTCACTGAAGCTTGGAAAAAACCCTGGCTCCTGGCCTGTTTCTTCTATTCAAACGTCTACCTTATCCTACTGCATCTTGATTTATTACCTCTAGGCCTATGACATGTTCTTTTACCATTCTCTTAAGTTTTGGTCCAGTAAGTAGAACAGAACGAGCACAGATGGTTTGGGATGTTGGTAGCTTGTTAGCAGGCCCAAATTTCTTAGTTAACTCTTTTGGGCCTGGCCTCCTGTTTCAGCACCGAAAGCAGCCCCGGCACGGGGGAGGCGGCGCCTCGAGCGCTGTGCCCGGTTCTGGGCGCTCGGTTTGGGGAGGACGTTGAGGGGCTGCGATGCCAAAATTGGCAGAAATGTGACTGCTCAGAGACAGTTTTGTGTGTTTAGGCAGCAAAGGTGTTTATTTGGAGCAGTGTTGGGGTGCTGGGCAGCTCTGGCTGCACAAACCAACTCTGAAGTTCTCAGTGTTCTCCGTCAGGCAATTTATACAATTTTCGTGAGGGATTATGACATCTTTACGTGCATATTCATTCCATTTCACAACCTAATTATCATATTCATAACAGGCAGGGTTTGGGCAGAGCTTGGGGGGGGGGGTCATCCTTTTGGGGAGATCTTTGGTGGTCATTCCAGCTCTTCAGCCTCGTGAGGGGTCATCTTTCTTCTCCTCATCTTCATGAACTCTTCAACTCTTCCTGGCTACGAAAACCCCTTGACTGAGCTCCTCTATCTCCCCAGATGTCCACTCTGTCTGATTTATGACCACTGAGCTGACCTTTCTGTTATCTTCTAGTAGAACAGAACATACCAAACGTGGGCAGGACTCTCAGAGCAAGGTACCATCTCTCTCTGGACTCACCCCTCAATATCTGCTCTTTGTTTCTGCTGCCTTTTGACGTAAACGTTGCATTCCTCAGAGTGAGGTCTGTGAAACCTTCCTCAGAGCAAAATTCCAGTATCCAGACCTGTTTCAGCTCCTGTTTCAGCTGGAGAAGGGTCTGGAGCACAAGTCCCGTGAGGAGCAGCTGGGGGGGCTCAACCTGGACAGGAGGAGGCTCAGGGGGGACCTTCTTGCCCTCTGCAACTCCCTGACGGGGTTGGAACCGGGGCGGGTCGGGCTCTGCTCCCAGCAGAAGGGCGAGAGGACACGGCCTTGAGCTGCACCAGGGGAGGGTTTAGGTTGGACATCAGGAAGAAGTTCTTGACAGAAAGGGTGGTTGGGCATTGGAATGGGCTGCCCAGGGAGGTGGTGGAGTCACCATCCCTGGAGGTGTTTGA